TCGGCTACGTCGTCGCCGCCAGTAACATCAATGATTTCATCGTCCACAGCGACGTAGAGTTTGCGGATCAAGTCATTCTTTACCCAATTACCCAGGCATTGCAGCCCCTCGACAGTTCCGGGCGAGAGCCGTGCCCTGTCCCAAGAAATCGTCCGCCTTGTGCAAGAGAATACCCGTTCTGGGTCGTCTGACATCGCCGGCACACTGAGCACGTCTAGTGCCATTTGGTGCAAGCGTGGGTACTCCATCCTTTGTTCTTCTCGGCACCACCATTCAAGCGGCGTGTTTGTCATCATATGTCTCGGCGGAGAATTGACGAATTTTTCGAATTCATCCTCATCGCCAGGTGTATCCAAGACGCTCATCGATTGCTTGATTCGCTCATACGGAGTAGCTTCCCGTCGTTCGTTACCCGAACGAGCCAACTCCAACGAGAGGGGCCGGTCCTTGTATTTCGCCCAAAGGCGCCGTGCGCCATCAACGGCCGTCTGCCGCCATTCCTCGGCCCAGAGCGTGGGTACTCCATCCTTTGTTCTTCTCGGCACCACCATTCAAGCGGCGTTTTTCTGGGTGGAGCAATAATGCCGTGGCATATATGGGATTTTTGTCGCTCTCTTCGTAATACTTCGAGAGAACCCACCATCCCATGTGCACGGAATTAACCATACGCGCGTTGTCCAGGTATTTGACCTGTTTCACCATCAGCGAAACTCCTAGTAATCGATCACACTGCTGGTCCTTACCTTGGCATCCTCAAACTGCATGAAGAGAATATCCATATTCTCCAGCACCTGATCTATTGATGCCCATTCCATTTGCTGTTCCAGGGTGGCCTGGTAAAACGGCTGTAAGAACTCATGGGTCATTTTGAGCATTTGCCAGTCATCATGGGTAAGGCCTCCAGCTCATTGTGGTGCTGATTTAGGAATATTGACAATGGACCCTCCTGGCTTACGGCCGCATCAAGTAATTTGAACCATGAGTTCCAGCGAGTAACATTGTCAATCCCGAGTGCCTTTCCTGCAACATCATCCCATGCGTCATTACGAACCGTGGAGTTTCGGATAAAGACTGCAATGTTGTGGAGTTTACCCAGAGGGCCGATGCTCCGCCAGCCTGCGGTGTCGTTGCGTTTCCTGCGTTTGCCGTGCGTTGTTTGGCTAGTCGTAGTTGAGTGCAGCTGGTCGTGCAACGCCTCCGCAACGGTTACGTCAGTCGTCTCATCTTGCGCCTGTTCCATTGCCACCTGCAGGGCGTTCTTGCTAGTTGCAAAGAGAAAGGCTTGGAGGGACAAGTTAATGATGTGGCCGACGCATCGCGTTCGAGACGATACTGCATCAAATGCAACGCCGTACTCCTCTAATAGCTCAAGAGCAAGTTGGCGGAGACAAGTGTCGTTCTTTACGTCATTATCCCCAGTGATGTAGCCTACTCGGTGCGCGAGGTTGTATTTTCGGATAATCTTCATCAAGTGCGGTGTCATTGCCGCGCCAGCGTGAGAGTGGCGGAGGTTTGGGAGTCCTAACAATGCTTTGCGAAGGTTGTATCCCTCGTCAACCCATTGTGCGTGTACAGCGATATACGCCTTGCGCTGAGGAGAAGACCATACATCCATGGCAATGTGTACGAGGCTCCGGGACATATCCAGCCATTTCTTTACAGATTCCTGATGCGCGTCGTAGGCCCGATCCAAGTCCGCTGCCACGGTGTTTCCAGAGTCGACCAGGAGCTCTTGAACGGCGGGATTTACCGCAGATAGAAGTGCCTGGTATTCTGGCCACGTTGCAAAGTTCAGCGGCAGGTACCTACGGGCAGAGAGGAGCATCTGTGCCTCTCGAAAGGCATCGGCATTGATGACCCCCCGCAAGGTGTTCACTTCATTCGCCCTGGCCTGTTGCAGCTGGTTGGCGCTTGTCCTTGCGAATGCATTTTCTATGGCAAGTTGGCGCTTGGTTTGAGATTTCAAGTCCTCTCGAACATGTATGTGATGCGCCTTCTCGAGGTGATAGCGGGCGTTGCCAGATATGTGTGTTGACCAGGAGGGATTACAACAACGCGTGCAGTAGTGGAGCAGTCTCCCGCTCATCGTGCGTGGTTCGTCGCCTTGAGCTCCTCGAAAATGATCCCATGTGGATGTCGCTCTTAGTTTTCTTCTCTTGACCGCATGCTGAGAGGAAGATGCCTCCGGGTCGGACAGAGTGCTGGCAACTTGCGAGACACTATCTGACGGCAGTACGGAGGAAGAGCTTGATGCGGCGTTGGATTGGGGCAGTGAGTGTGTGTTGGCCATTTCTGGCCGCTTGACGCGTGTAGTGGCGCCGCAGTTTCGGTTGCTAAAGGTTCAAAATTGCCCAACTCGAGGCTTCATTCAGAATCGCGGAACGAGCAACGTACGCGTCAGACTGCAGAACCTGAAACTCGCCAAAAAGATACCTAAGTGGGTCTATATTCTTAAGACTTCGTAATATGTATTCATAGGCGGCGTCTATATTTTTATGCTTATGCATAAGCTTAACAATAATTATGCCATAAGCAAAGAATATGTATTCATTACTGAGATGTCTGGTTGCTTCTTTCCTCGAGGTGGTATTTGCCCGTCTCGATCGACACGATGGACGTCCGCCATGTGGCTGTTCGCTTGGCTCGTCGATGCGGCGTCGTACATATGAGTCGTTATGGCCTTCTTTCGGTGGCAGAGCTTGCACACCCAAAATCGATGACCAGAGCTGTCATTTTCAACGTCGTACCCATACTCCCACACCCAGCCAGTGCGTGGCCTTTTTCGGGGTCTACTGATGGAATAGCCTGAGAGGCGATTCCAGTCAATTCCTTCATAGCCAACGCAGTCGGAAGAGAAAGTTGTATTGTCCGCCTGCTCTTTCACGATATCCGACGCGCTGAGGTCGAAGGAGCTACCCGGGTCGCTGTAGCTGTTGTCAGGCAAGCCTGGCAAGGATGTGGGTCCGCTGTCGGCACTACCGACAAAATCCATGCCAGAATGAAGCAGGTGAAGCTCCTCCAAAGGCTACTCCATGATCTCGGCGATGTCAGCTTGCGCTGCACTACGCGACGAAATCGCGCCCACTGAGATTTCGAAGGCAACGCGTCGTGGAAAAAGCAAAAGCAAGAGCAAGGTTCGTGGCACGGGCCACTTGAATGTACGTTACACCAGCGTCGGCTGTGAACGAGGAAGAGAGGCTACCCTAAGGAGTTATTCAAATGACTATTCAAATATCCAAATAAATCGAGCCCTCAGATTTGATTTGATTCAAGTGATTCAAGATCAGATCTGATTTGAGTAAATTTGGATTTATTTGATTTGATTTGAATAAATTCGAATGCCATTTATTTGTTTGCAAGTCTGCCTCCCAGACTAAAATGACTTTT